ATATAAATATAAATATATATATATATATACATATATATATATATATATATATATATATATATATATATATATATATATATATATATATTTATATAAACAAATTAAACAAACACTGCATATACTATAATGACTGCAGCTGGTTCATTATTGTGATTTTTAATATCATTTAAATTCATGACGGTTTATTTTAGTTCATCAACTTGTTCTTGTACTCCAGTAATAAATCTCTGACATTAGGCTTAACCTTTGTTAGTATCCGCGACGGTTTTAGCCTAATGGCTTTAGATTAGGGTTGCTAATACTATACAAAGTTCACAGGTTCAATCCTGGCCAGAAATGACTTGCTTTGATCGCAGCTCAGTACGGTGAACTTAAAAAACCTCATTAATAGTTGAATAAATAAATAATTGAATGATTAAATGATGATATTTTATATTTCACATTTAAACGTTATATGATAAGTTGTTTTAAAAGTGTACACTGCAAAAATGCTTTTCTTGCTTAGATTTTTTGTCTTGTTTCTATTCCAAATATCTAAAAATTCCTAAATTAAGAAGAATTTTCTAGACAAGAAAAACATATTGTCTTGTTTTCAGAAATAATATGCCAATATTAAGTGAGTTTTTTCTTAAAACAAGTTAAAAAATCTGCCAATGGGATAAGCAAAATAATCTTACGTCACAAAAGAAAAAACAAGATTAAATTGCTTACCCCATTGGCAGATTATTTTGCTTGTTTTAAGGAAAAACTCACTTAATATTGGCATATTATTTCTCAAAACAAGACAATATGTTATGCTTTTCTAGAAAATGCTTCTTGATATAAGAAATTTTAGATATTTAGAGTAGAAACAATACAAAAAATCTAAGCAAGGAAAGCATTTTTTGCAGTGTATTGAAGCGTGTGCGGGAAACCGCATATTACACATTATCAAATTTGGTGAAAACTAGCAATAATGTATAGAGCAAAACATGCTAAATCTTGGACAATAAATCAACATGCAGTCCTCAACATGTATGAGTTCACCCCTCACAAACCTCGAATTTAGATTCATATGTTCCATAGGAAGCTTTACGATGTTATATTTGTGCATATAGATTAGATTAGTTAGGCTTTCACTGCCGAACTACAGCTTCCGTTCTTCATCTGTTCAATACTTTTTCCCTGCATCATTTTATTTGTTTTTTTACACAGAACTTCATTTATAAACTAATTAGATCAGTTTTCTTTGCATATATGGATTTATTTGGTTGTTATCAACATCTGGTAAAAATTTCAAGTCAACAGCACCTTTAAAATCTGTTTTCTGAGGAAAAACTGAGACATGTTCAACATTTAATATACCGCTTTATGATTATTCTGTAGTTGAAAAAAAAATCTCACCTTCGTTATTAACATCAATCCTCTCATAGATCAGGCTCACGATGTCATCTGGAGGGATTTCATAACTCCGGGTGATGTCCTGGATGGCCTGCGCAAAACATCAAACCACATTTAATATTTACGTTGCTTTTTAATTAAAATCACACCTTATAATACTGTGAAAATGTGTGTTGGAAATAGAATACATATTTCACTGGAAGACGAATCATTTTGTCTTCAACTGTACGTATTATATGGTAAGGGTTAGTTGTGTGTCACTGTAATTATGCATAATGTATTGATTTAACTGTACTAATCTGTTGTGCTTGTGTAACAAGGACGCTGTAAAGTAAATTGTAGTCTTCTTTCTTCTAAGCTAAAATAATGCTTCTTGATTATTCATTGACAGGTTTTTGGCGCTGGAGAAACGTTTGCACAGTTGTTATAACTACTGGTGGAAGTATGTATTTCTTTTGTTTTGTATTGTGTGTGTGTGTTTTTATTTATTTATTTTTTTATCCACAGTTTGGTACAAAACGAAACAAATACAAAACACAAAACAAAAGGGTCTGGTTTTGTATTATTAGAAACAATTTCAGTGTTATGAATACAATTGGTAGCTCAGAGCAGGGTGTAATCCAGCACAATAGGAACTACATGAATATGTAGGCTGACTAAGCAAAAACAGGCCATAAAAAGCTTTCACTGTATTTATTTATTTAATTATTATTTTTTTGATTCTTAGCATTGGACCAGTTCCAGCAATAAATAAATGATTACAATAACTCAAAAAGTGAATAAATTAAAACGAAATAAATAAATATATATATATATATATATATATATATATATATATATATATATATATATATATATATATATATATATATATATATATATATATATATATATATATATATATATATATATATATATATATATATATATATATATATATATATATATATATATATATATATATATATATATATATATATATATATATATATATATATATATATATATATATATATATATATATATATATATATATATATATATATATATATATATATATATATATATATATATATATATATATATATATATATATATATATATATATATATATATATATATATATATATATATATATATATATATATATATATATATATATATATATATATATATATATATATATATATATATATATATATATATATATATATATATATATATATATATATATATATATATATATATATATATATATATATATATATATATATATATATATATATATATATATATATATATATATATATATATATATATATATATATATATATATATA